AGACCTAAAAAGACTTGGTTAGAAAATATTAGGAATGACATTTCTTTATTTGATTTAAACGAGAAATGCTTTATGGTGCCTAATGTTGGCCATTAAAGGAGAAGCATAATACTAAGTTAAGTGTGTCAGAGATGAGGATGCTCAGATGGATGAGTGGCTTTACCCTTAGAGATAGGATACAAAATGAGCATATATGTGAAAAGGTTGGAGTAGCTCCAGTAGAAGATAAGCTTAGAGAGAGTCGTCTTAGATGGTTTGGTCACATAAAATGGCGGCCTTCCGATGACCCTGTTAGGAGAGTAGAGGTATTAGATTTGACTTATGTTAAGAAAGGTAGAGGCAGACCAAAAAAGACTTGGTTAGAAAATATTAGGAATGACCTTTCTTTATTAGATTTAAATGAGAATTTGACTTTTAATAGGACACAATGGAGGAAAGGATTCATGTAGCCGACCCCACGTAGTGGGATAAAGGCTTGATGACGATGTTGTTGTTGTTGTATCTTCAGTAAGTACTACTACCACAGTTCTACTATATAATCGTTTGTCAATCTAATCTTCCTAATTTTGTGATACATTTATCTTAACTATTTTTTTGTCACCTTCAACTTTAGCTATAAGTGACTTCTTTCACATACCAAGTTATTTTTATAGTATAATTCCCTAGTACGGTCATAATGGACTAACATTAAGGCTTCCTTTAGGGACGGCTTTTTATCGCTTCTTAAAACAATTTTTTTTTTTTATAAAAATTTTAATTTTTATATTAGAAAGCTGTTTTAAGAAGTAGTAAGAAAGCCGTCCTAGGCTTCGTTTGGGACGGCTTTCTTATTGCTTCTTAAAGCAACTTTTTAGCATAAATTTTATAGTAGAAAGCTGTTTTAAGAAGCAATAAGAAAGTCATCACAAATAAAGTCTAAGACAGACAAGGAACACCAGCAGTACATGGCTTTATAGCAAGCATAATCACAACGTGAATATTTTACTTTAAATGGGTTAATATCGTTTAAAACGGCATTAGGCTCTTCTTATACTACTCTTCATTAACACTCCTCATACTTGACTGAAATTAGGACATACAAGGAATTGTAGGTGATAAATGATTTATATGGTTTACCAATAATGTCTAGTGCTACTCTTGTAAGAAATCTTATACATACATTTTGCTTATAATTTAATTCAGTTCAATTTTCTGAGTAATTAACGGTATCCAAACTTTTTCGGTTTTCATGTTTGAATTCAACTTTTTTTTCCCTCTTAGATTTTAGTTGGTATAGTTTTCGTACTGCTTTCAAAAATAATTTTTTATTACCAGAATTTTTTGAAAGCAGCGAAAAAATCATAATCAAAAGTTATCTTAAACAAAGCCTTAGTTTTAAAACCTGAAGCTGGGCTGATTGAATAGGCTTGCAAATGGTAGTTTTTATGGTGGAATTCCTAAATCTGGCAAAATTAGTTGATTTATTGTTTGTATATTTATATATAGATCTTCTATTGCTGTACTTTTCAGTTCTTCTGTTTGTTTACTGCTACTTGATAATCACTTGGGTTATAAATTTGCAATTTTCTCTTTTACATATTTTAAACTTTAGCATACAAGTAGTAATTTGTTCTTTGCACATGATTATTAATATATTATAAATCTTGGAAATTATCCCAAATAGGAGCTCCATGTAATAAAAATCGTTTGGGGGGTTTTGGGCAAACCTTTTGGGAAACATTCTAAGTTGTCTTATGGAACAATGGATCACCACCATATCATTCACATTGAGTGTCATTGCAACTAATCATATTTCTCATCAGAAATTCGAGTTTTTCTCGGGCTTCGTTTGGGACAACTTTCTTGCTGCTTTCTAAAGCAGTTTCTTAGTATAAAAATTTTTTGAATTAGAAATTTTTATACTAGAAAGCTGTTTGAGAAAGTTGCCCCCAACGAAATTTTAACCTTTTATTGATCAAAATCTTAAATTCTTCCTGTAGGACCGAGATCGAAAGCTGAGGATTTTCGCGGGGGGCGAGCACCCATTTGGAGACCGGCCTTTAGAGCCTTATGAGATGCCCCCTCGACAGGTTCGGGAGATGCGTCCTCGCACCAGACGCGCGCTCATCAGGGCTCAAAAGAAGGCAGAACAGAGCAGAATGGCTACCAGTCCCATGTCTTCCAACAAGGAAGATAATCGTGCATGAATTGTTCTACTTTCTGATCTGGTTAGGTATCTTCTGTTACAAATAAAATTTTCTGAATTGCATGTAATTTTCAAGTTTTTCTTTTGAGAAAATGTGGCAAAAAATAATTAGGGGTATTTACATACCTACCATAAAATTCTTATATATTTAATATATTAATTTTGATAATTATTTGTATAATACTTAAATATTTAAATCATATTAAAATATGATTAATATCAACTTCTTAATGCAAAACTCATCTTTTTATTGAGATGTTGAAGTATTATATTGGAAAATATCAAAGATTAGGTGTTAGGTATTATGGCAAGTCATAAGAATTTTGTGGCTTAAATGTAAATACTGCAAATAATGAACTTGTTTTTGTAATTTAATGGGTTTTTTAGAACAATTTGATAGATGGATTTGATTTAAATAGGACAAATTTCCCCCTATTTGTTATGTTTTTTTGCCTAAATTAATAGGGCTAGCCCTCTTTAGAACAAATGAGCTTGTTATTTTTCTGGATGAACTATAACATTTTGTTTGGGATAGCTTTTGGCGATCATTTTTTACCTTTTTTTTTAAATATTATATTAAAAAATTGTTTTAGAAAATTATAAAAAAGTTTTTTTAAACGAAGCTTAAATCTCTAAATTTTGATCATGTGAAATATTTCCTTCTCCAAATTTTGTTTGAGTACTCTATCATTTGATCCATTAGGATTCTTAAATAATCACTTAGTTCAAATCCTTTTAGCCTAATTTGGTGACAACATTTTCCACAAAGAAATAATGAATATTTTTGCTGAGGGATTGTAGACGATCTCTTCTTTGATACTATCAAGATTTTGTTTGGAAAAATTTTCTTACTGTTTTTTTTTTTAAATTTGTAGTCAAAAGGTGTCCTAAATAAAATCTAATTTTTTGCGTGATGTTGGTGTTGTATGTTGAAGAATCTACTTATATTTGTGGCTAATAAGGCTTTATTTGGGAAAGTAGTTTGTTCGTATAAAAATTTTTTGAAATAGAAATTTTTCTAACTAAAAATTTGCTTTAGAAAGTTGTGAGAAAATTGTCTCAAATAAAATTTAAGATTTTGTTTGGGACGGTTTTTTTATTGCTTTTTAAAGTAATTTTTTAATATAAAAATTAAAATTTTTATATTAGAAAGTTGCTTCAAGAAGCAGTAAAAAAAAATGTCACAAATAAAACCTAGGGAACTTGAAGAAATAAATCATTATCTTTGAAAACATAGCTAATTTTTTAGCATATGAAACCATATGATTCTCATTATTATTTGATAATAATAAATCTTTAAATAGTTTTTAATTATTTTTCTATAGTTTTGTTATTTCATAACAATGATAAAGATGCAATGTGGTTTCATGATGCAACAAGAAAATATGTTACATAAAAAATATGGGGGATTTGCTTACATAAAACTCAACATTATTTTATTATACATTTAACGTCTAAATTTTAGTATTTACGAATCTAACACTCCATTACTTTTATGTTGCTTCCACTCAAAATGTTGAAAGACTTAACGACAAGAACGACAATGGGATCTCGTTGGGAAGAGTATCGATGTGGCCGATGACATGTGAATGAAGAAAAGATGAGAAAGGTGTAACGGGATGTGAGGGTGGGAAAAATAGAACTGTTAAATGCATGATTTTACAAATGAAATAAAAAGAGGAATTTTTTTTTCTTAGAATTTGGACAACTGCATTAATTGAATGTTGGTAAATAGTTAAAAAACTTATTTTATTAAGAAATAAAAAGATTTTATGGTGGAAAATTGCCCACCCTAAGTTCTTTCTGATTCCACCCGTAGATCTAAATTGGAGAAAGGCACTGAAGAGACCGAAGACGTGTGAAGGATGAATAATAGATGAAGAAGTCACAATGGGATCTTGTTGGAGAAGGGCATTAACAAGACTCAGATCACCTTAATAACATGAAGTTAATGAATATGATATCCTTTATATTATTTATGTGAGTAAATGAGTAAGTTTTAGATGTTAAATATGTAAATATCATAATTGAGTATTACATTTTTGTATGTAAATTTTATAAAAATAAAATTCTTATACTTTCAAAATTCATTATGAAATTCTCTTCAGCACTACACACCAACCATACTGACAAAACACAAGGGAATATTTGATCAACTGTTAGCTTATTCTTCTATAGAAAGAATGAAAATGAATTCAGAACTTGACTCTGCAGCTGCAAATTTAAATAGATCCGTTCATAAAAAAATCATATAATAATTTTTATAAATTTTGTTACAAGAACACTCAACCTCCATCCAATTTCTATTCTTTTTAATATAAACTGTAATTAATAAAAATTCATGAATACTGATCTCACTATATAACAGGTAATTCCTTATAAAAATCTTCAAGTGATCTTCTAGAATGATGATGTGTTGAATTAAGCAGAACTCTCCAGAAATTTAAAGAGGCTAATAATGTGATGCCACCTTATTTCTCCTCAAAAGTAATCTGTCTCCATCAGAAGCAAAACCAGAAGTTCCTCCTCCCTTTATCTCAAACATGACTACAGACATTCACAATTTTCCTTTCTGCTTCTCTGCTTCTCAGTTCTTCTATCTTTCAAAGGAAAAGTAGCATAGATGGGATCAGTAGGAGACTTTCTTCTTGACATCATTACTGCAGTGTTGGTGGCTGTTGTGCTAGCTATCATGTTCAAGGGGTGGCTGTTAATGATGGCTGGCTTGTTTTTGCTCTCTCTTCTTGTCGATCCGAGCATCTACTACTTCATCGCCCCTCGCCGCCACGCCGTTGTTGCTGTCTACTCCTACTGAGAAGCCTGCTTATCTATATCAAGTTTCTTTCTCTCTTTATGTTATGTATCAGTGGATTATTCATTAGCTTTCTTCTTGCTATGTATAATTTTGAAAGATTCCACATGTAAATTTTCATGTTCTACATGATTTTCTGATATTTTTCATTTGATCAGAACTGATTTTTTCAAGTGTTTGATGAGTTCAGGAATAAGTTTTCTTGAATTGATTAGAAGATTTGAAAAGCTATGAACTCAAGATTTTTTACTGCCTATTAAGAGTAAAAACTAGTAAGCCTCTTCTTCTCCAAAAGCAAAGAAGATTATTTTTCCTCCATTAAGGCCAAATTTCACACCTCTCACAGTGGTGGGAACATTGTTATATGGAATTTTGATGTTCTCCTCTGCTTTTCAACCTGCAGTTCTTCGATTGCAGCCACTTTCCTATCTTTTTCTTATTAATGAAAGCACTGATAAGGATGTTTTCTAGTCTTTCCTGCAGAGCCAACCTTTTGAAAATGCATCCTTAATGCATACATCTCGAATTATATTAAGAGACTAGCTTTGTTTGGGACAATTTTTTTGAAGCTTCTTAAAGCAGCTTTTTAGTAAAAAAAATAAAATATTTGTACTAAAAAGTTGCTTTGAGAAGCTATAAGAAAGCCGTCCCAAACGAAACCTTTAACTGGATCAAGCTCTGTTGTAAGAAGTAAGGTGGAAATGATGTTCCCTTCTGAGTCACTATGTCCTAAACTTTGCCATTTCATATGCTTGATCTGATGGAGCTCTCTAAACTTGTTCCAATAAAAACTCATTTAAAACTATTATTTGCAAATTTAACTGATGGCTTCAAGCTAGATCTTACAAGGAAATTGCCATAATGCAATATCAAATGACTTTCTATACTGGAGACTTCATGGGCTATGTAGTAAGATAAATCTTACTGGTTAAATGATAGTGAGTACAACTTGTTACTCTACCAAAGAATCGAGGGAAGACATGCTTCCAATACTACTTAGACTTCATTTGGGACGGCTTTTTTGCTGCTTCTTAAAAAAAAACTTTTTAGTAAAAAATTAATTTTTTTGTACTAAAAAGCTGCTTTAAGAAGCAGTAAGAAAGCTGTCACAAAACGAAATCTTAAATCTCTTTATACTAATCTTGGACACACGCCTTCTTCTAATGACCCTATTGCCCAATAAGCTCAATCTTTCTGAAAGAGCCTCTACAATATGCTCTGTTCAACTTATGAATTTGTTACTTCCTATATTATGCTCTACATTGGATATTACTAATGGTGAAATTATTAATATTGTATTCTACATTGTTAAGAATCAACTCTAAATAGCCTGGAGGCCTTCTCTCAAAAACCATATGGCATGACTTCCCCAATTTTTAGAAGCTTTTATAAGCATAGTGTTGTAATAACTTGGCATATATGGTGATAATGAGTTGGGATAGAGCTTTAATTCTACTCTTTTTTTTTTTGTATTTAGGATATTTTACTCAATGTGGATTATTTCCTTGTTCATCCCCTTTGACATCTTCTCCCATGATAATCCTTCCCATGGGTGTCTAAGATATTCTTTTTCATCTTCAACAAAGGATGCCATCTTAATGAGAATCATACCATGCTTCTTATGATTAAGCAGAGCATCATCAATAAGAAAATATTGACTTAGGTTTCATTTGGGACGGTTTTCTTGTTGATTCTTAAAATAACTTTCTAGTTTAAATTTAGTTTTTATACTAGAAATATGTTTTAAGAAGCAATAAAAAGCCGTTCTAAATGAAGCCTTAATATTTATGTCTTCTCAATGCACTCCATAAATACATTCTTAAAGTTGTCATATTCAAGGTAGTTATCAATTAGCCTATTGCTTTTTGTCATCTACTAACTTCTCCGCAATAGAAAACTCACTAAGGCTTCGTTTGGGATGGCTTTCTTAATGCTTCTTAAAATTGTTTTTTAGTACAAAAATTAAAATTTTTGTACTAGAAAGCTACTTTAAGAAGCAGGAAGAAAGCCATCCCATACAAAGCCTAAAACTTAATCTAATAATTAAGGCAAATTCAAGAACTCTAAATTTTGTATTCATACCTCCATTATTGAATACAACAAAGTATCTATTATTCTCTTCACTATCAATCAATTTTTCAAACTTGGAAGACCTGGAACCTTGGATAATTGTAGTTAGCAATAGGGAAAAACCTGCGGGTGATTTAGGATTTGTTAGGGACGGCTTTCTTATTGTTTCTTAAAGTAGCTTTTTAGTATAAAAATTAATATTTTTGTATTAGAAAGCTGCTTTAAGAAGCAGCGAGAAAGTTGTCCCAAATTAAGCCTTAGCCACTTGAAGAGCATCAAAACTTTCAAAATGTGTAATAACATCATTCATTGTACCCCTAGCTTTATAGGCGATCTGAGCAATATAATACTTTCCCATAAGAATGATTAGTTTTTTTTTTTTTTTTTTTTTTTTTTTTTTTTTTTTTGAGAGAATGCAAAATTGCATTAAAAAGAAAAAGAACTAATTACAACCTAGAACAAAAAGAAAAAGCAAATGGTTTCTAGCTCCAATATGGAAAGAAACCTTATTGAAAACATATTTGTTAAACTAAAACTACCATAATTGAAATAAGACCCTACTATTTCCCATTTAAAAACCCTTGGGGTGGAGGGGATACCAAATAAATAAAACAACCTAAAAGGTTGATTAGTATCCCAGAGTTCCCAACCGGTTAAAAAATAAGAACTAGTATAGATCTCATAAGCAATTAAAGTAATTATAGAAAACAAATATAAAACTAAAAGAAAGAAGGAAACTAAGAAAAGAACTAAGATAACAAAAAATCAACAAAAGTTGATAATCATCAGTAAGAACTAGAAGATATCCCTGAATCTTCTTCCAAAGCCTGAGTCCATAATCCGCAGTAAATAAATTGAGATACTCTTTAAACATGAGATCCCTCATCAAGTAACCTCCAAGAATCATCATGATGTATATATCCATGTAGTAGTAGGAATTCATTAAAGAACTAAAGGGGAAGAACCCCTTAAAAATTTTTTTGAACTAAGATCAGTCATTCTCCTTCACCACCGATTCCAAGGACTGAAGCTCTTTAAAAAGTTTGTCTTACATGATTAGTTAAAAATAAGAATGATTAGTTAATACATCATCATATTATAGCAAATTAACTTAAATTAATCAATTCCATACAAGTTAATGAGGAAAAATAAGGTTAGAACCTCATTTGAACGAAGTTTGAGATAAGATTTGATCATGATTCAAATTTATTACATAAGCATTGGAAGCTAAAAGAAAGAAAAAAAAATCTACAATTTGACATGTATGCATTATTTTAGCATCAAATGCTTTAAATAATACATTTCATTAAAATAGATAACACTCTAATTACTAAGTACTTATTCATTGTTTAGACAACCTAACAAGTTAATTAATAATTAACTAATCAGCTTATTGAAATGCTTAAAATTTTTATTTAAATTACAAAAAATCATAATTAGTTTACAATTAACTTATATCAACAACAGAATCGTCAATTAGTTATAGATAATTAATAAATTGTTTTTTATTATATTAATCAAAGACTTGCAAAATTAATAAGAATAAAGATAGATATATCAAAATTAATGGTTAATAAACTTTAAATTTGTTCTTCCAACTAGCAAGCATAGTTTGAATATTACTAAGGCAATTACTCATACAAAAAATTCTCTAATTCTTTACTTATTTGATGGGAAAATTTAAGGGTGTCAAAACCTGACACGACCTGAACCCGACCAAAAAAATTCTAGGTTCGGGTCAACCCATTTGTCATACGGGTCGGGTTCGGGTTTGTAATTCATACTCGTTTGTAAAATCGGATCAGGATCGGGTTGACCCGAAAACTCGAAACCAGCCCGGATTTACCCATTTTCATCATCTCACATGAGGTCGGTCAGTTAGTGTCATCGCCATCGTGTCACTGCGTCAAGCGTCAAGCATCTTGTATGAGTTGTCTCCAGTCACATCATGCCCATCGCAGCGTTGCTATCGTCGTCCTTTCATCTCGCATTGCTGCTGCCGAAGTTTGGCCTGCACGCGTTGCCGCAGCCGCAACCGCCATCCTGCCAGTGTTGCTATTGCTGCTGTCCTTCTAGCCCGCGGCACCATGCTGGCTCCCATAGCGCGATTGAGACCCAGTCGGCAGAACTGCGCCTGCTCCGCAGCTTCTGCTATGAGCGTCGGGTCAAGTGATTTTACGTACCCTCGTGGGTCGGGTTGGGTCAACCTGGTAACCCTCACGGGTCGGGACTAGGTTGACAAACCCAACCCGTTCGCAAAACCAGGTAGGGTTAGTATCAACCCGTTTATTGTTGGGTCAAATCGAGTTTGACCCGAACCCGACTCGTTGACCCTAATCGACACCCCTAGAAAAATTTAAAAACTATTTATCTTGGGATGTTAAAACAAATTGACGAGTCAGGTTCAGGTCGGACCCAAAATTGACTTATCAGAATCTAGACATCTAAACCTTACCAGTTTAAGAAACGGGTCAAAAAATCAACTAGAACTCAACCAATTAGCAACCCAAATCTGACCTGTTAAACTATTATGTTTTTTTTTTTTAAATTATTAACTATAAAGCTTAGAAAAAAAAAGAGAAGATCATAAACACAAGTAAAAATAATAGTTAAAAAAATATTAAATGGGTCATTTTTGAGTTAAAAATAGGTTCGCGAGTCAATTTAAACATAAATCATTTAATAAACATGTAAGATAATCAAATATAAATTTGACTTATAGTAAATAGGTTAATCCGAATTTAAATTTTTTTGACCAGATTGGAATCAGGTAGACCTGTCATTTTCGGGTCACTGGTCGGGTTTGGGTCGAACTCGAAATTGACCCAGCACTATTCGGGTTCGGCTCAACCCGACCCATTTTTACAAACTGGTCGATTTTCCGGACCCGCGCCCGACCCGCTTCGGGTCAACCCGACCCGACCCGCTTCGGTTCTATTTTTCGAGTTCCCGTGCGGTGCAACTGCAGGCCGGTAGCGATGCAGCGACGGCAGTGTGGGCGAGGTAGCGGGCCCGATGCAAGCAGCGACTCGAGGCTTGATGCGACGCACCGACAAGAGCTGTCACACGGCGTGTGATGCCCTAGGCATCCATAGTGAAAGGATTCGTCTGACAATCTCGATCAATCTCCATTCCTGCTCCCTTACTCGGACCTGAAATTGTTAACCACATATAATGAGCTTCAAAAAGTCCAGCAGGTCACCAAAGCCTACAACTGTACATTCATATGCATATTCAATCATTCAAATCATCAATTCAGAAAATCAGAAGTCGTACGAGAAATCGGCGGCATAACGGCAGTATACAGAATTTACACAGAAATCACAGATTCAGAAATTTACCAAATTACCAGAAATCGAAGAAAACAACATTACAAAGCTTTACTTGTACTGAAGCACTATTTTTCAACAACTAGATAATTTTCTATTCGATAAAAATCGCACAGAACTCAAAATAACCGGTAGAAACTTTACAGAAAATACACTCGATGCAGGTTATGGGGCAGGCGGGCTGCTCGGGTAGGCGGGGTCGCGGGGCAGTCGGGGCAAGCCGGGCAGGTGGGGTGTGGCCGATTTTAGGGTCATTCCGAGTCATTCCCGGGTTGTTGGGTCAACCCGAACCTAACCCGGTTTTACAAACGGGTCGATTTCCCGACCAGCTTCGGGTCAATCCAAACCCAAAATTTTCGTGTTGGATTCGGATTGGGTCCAATATTGACAGGTCTAGAATCATGTCAGATTATTTATTGGCACCTTTAAAATCTTTTAAAAAAAAAATTTCTTATTCTGCACTCTTCAAATTTGAACTTGGAATCCGAGCGTAAATACCGGTTTCTCCCTCCTCGCAGACCAGTTCGCTCTCGACTGATCTGTTTCATCCGACTCTTCCAACAGCTCGGAAATGTCGAGGAAATCGATCAGAAAAAGCAGCCGCGCCATCGATGCCCGTTCTCAGCAAACTTTGCGGCGATCTCTCCGCCTTATTTCATCCGAGACAATCGGAAAAGTTTCATCGTTGCAACTCGTCGACGGTAAGGAGTCTGTAGAAACGCATCTCGGAAACCTCTCGGAAATGTCGATGAAAAGTAAGCCCAGAGTCGGCACCCACCAAACTATTCTCCGGCGATCCAACCGATTCCTTCCACCCGAAAAGTTGAAGCCAGAAATTTCTTCGCGGAATTCAAACTTCTGTATGAAATCAGTAGAAATCCATCCGGACTCTCTCTCCATTACTTCCCAATCGAAGGAAACAGCTTCTTCCAGAAAGATTAGGGCAGCGATTCGCGGGAAAAGTCAGCTGAAGCTGTCGAGATCGAAGTCTGGCGTGGTTCTTGAAGAGACACAGAGTGGCCTTAGGCGATCTCTGAGGTTATCTTCCCAAACTGGAAGTAAAGTTTTTGAAATCCCGCAAGGGTTTCCTGATGGGAACCAAAGGCGACAGTCAATGAGGTTACTTGGCCTAGCTCCTGTTACTGCAGAACATGTGGGGGCAAGGATTGAAAGCCGTAGACCTAGTCATGAGGTCGAGCATAATAAACCTTTTAAAGTGGATTGCAAGGTTGTAGCCACGAGGCGTTCTATGGAGCCGGTTTCAGTTACTACTAGAGCCAGAAAAGAATGGAACCAACCGGAAACCATTGCTGAGTCAAACCCCGAGCTGGTTTCAGTTACTAGCAGGGACAGAAAAGAATGCAATAAACTGGAAGCCATTTCCGAGCCAATGCCAGAGATGGTTCCCAAAAAGGAATGCAAACCTTTGAGCTCTCAGATCAGAAGATCATCTCCTAGATTTATGTCAGCATCAAATGGATTAATGAAGAGCGGAGCCACTTTGAAGATGCCATATAAAGTGGAGGTGGTTGCTGAAAGGCTTAATGCTGACGGTAGAGACTTGGTTTTAGAAAGTGGAGTAGAAGATGCCTTTGTGATCACAAAGAAAGCTGACCTTCACAATGCTAAGAGGACAAAAACGGAAGAACATGAAATGGAGGATAGAGTTGAAAAGAAAAATAATGAAGAATGCTGTGGTACGGTAGCTTGGAACAATGAACAAGAAGAAGCACTACAGAAGGCCTATTTAATAGCAAAACCGTCTCCCCATTTTTGGAAGAAAGTTTCCAGAATGGTATGTTCTAGCTCTCTCTTTACCTTTTTATCAATTAGCTCGTCTTCATAATCTGAGACCAAAAAAATATCATTATGATTTAATTAACGGGTTATGTAAGCTGCAAGCTCTTTGCTAGTTTTTCTTGTATTCTATAATAGGAATTCAAGACAAACAGTAATTTTATTGTCATCTGCTTCCTTTTGCTAAATGAATTGTTTGAACCAACTATGAATGGCACTGTCTTTGAGTGAACATCTTTGTTGGCACCATTAAAACTAATAGAATTGGTTGAGGGATTCCAAGAAAGGTGTTCCTCTATAAATTGTTGACCTATGCTAAT